CTTCCTTCCTTCCTTCCTTCCTTCCTTCCTTCCTTCCTTCCTTCCTTCCTTCCTTCCTTCTTTCTTTCTTTCTTTCTTTCTTTTCTTTTATGTCAGATTTTTGGAACTAGTCTGGACAAGTCCTTGTAGTTTTCTTGGCAAGTCTTTCAGAAGTGGTTTGCCATTCCCTCCTTCCTAGGGCTGAGAGTAAGTGATTGACCCCGAGGTTATCCAGCTGTCTTTGTGCCTAAGGCAGAACTAGAACTAACTTCTTGCCACACAGTCCCCAGTGTTCTAGCTTGATGCCTTAAACACTTCACCAAACTGGCATCTATTCTATTCTATTCTATTCTATTCTATTCTATTCTATTCTATTCTATTCCATTCCATTCCATTCCATTCCTCACATCATCTTGTTATAAAGACTTATAACAGTAAAATAAAAAGGGAAAAAAGAAAAACATAGTCATTTTCATGAGAAGTCTTGCCCATTCAATTACTTATTTGAGGGAGGGATAACATATAGCACATTATGCAGACTCAGCCATGTGAAGTTGGAACCTGGCACTGAGGCCATCAAGTCTCATTCACTGCTTAGTCCAATAAGAATTTCAAAATGTCCCATAGCTGTCTGTCTGTCTGCTGTTTCAAGTCCATCCACTAGAAAGGTCAGCATCACCCTTGGTTCCACTCGCAAACTCCTCTTATTGAGAGGAATATGACTCCCTTTCTGAATAGTTTTATTTTTTAAGATATGAGGGAAAGCCGAGCCTGTGAAATCCACTCTTTCAAAAATTGTTGCCAGATCACTGATGAATCTAGTCCTCTGCACAATGGAGAATCCAGATATACCAGACAGATAGCTCTCTAATTTTGCTAGGAACTTGCCCAGTGAAGACTGGTCTATCTTTTCTCTAATTAAGCAATCATACATTCCCTTCACCTTGATGTTTTTTTAACATTCAATCTTACTCTTCAGACAGCCTTTTTGAAATGGTTTTTTTTCTTTCTCATATGATTTTCCTTACTGAACCATTGGTACCTTTAGTATTGTACCACAGAAAGGTAGCATCTACATGGAATCTATGAAAATAATTATTTCTTTCTAAAGCTTTGCACCTCCTCCTCCTCTGCTTCTTGATGGAGCAAGAATTTAGAAAAACGTACCTTGCTGAAAGTCTTCTCTGACAAATGAATCCCAAGCCGCCAGAGGCCTCCTATGAAAGGAAGCCGAAAAGGTCCTGGCGGATAGCGTTTGCCTTTGCACGGGAAGAACTTTTTCAAAAAGCAAAGAATCCTGTATGGAATCATAATGGTCCAAAATAATAGTTGTTGCAACATTATATTGCCTTCTCACTCTCTAACTTTGAATGCCTCTTATATCACCTTTGTGGATTTCTTCTCTGTCGGTTACTTGTTTTCTTTTGTGATATTGTTCCTCCTTCTCTTTGTTGTTTGCTATTATCAGCCTTTATATATATATATCTACTCATTAAGCCACCTTCTGACAACTCAGTCAAGAAGCCTAGGAATGTGATTCTCTATAGATGTTTGAGATAAAATTAATTGTTAAAGAGTCAGAGGAACCTTTGATGAGATGTTTAATAGCAAAAGTCACTCTAATCCAACCCTGACCTTGTAGGTGATCAATTATCAGTAATATTGTTTATATGTGTTGGAAGAAATGTCCTTCTGGGTTCAGTTCCAAATGGGGAGAAAGACACTGGAAACATGGTGATTGCTTGGAAATATGGTTTTAATGATGGACAGGATCATATGGTTTGAGGTCCTGGGGAAAAGGGGGATCAGATGCCTTGAAGGAAAAAAGGCTGCAGGCAGCTGAAAACTATCAGAAGTTGCTGAAAAAGCTGCTTCCAATGCCATCCTGTTCTTTGCGCTGGCCACACATGCACATGCACGTGAACACTCTGATGGGGCGCAGGAGTTCATGGCCTCCATGACAGCCATGGGCTTGACCCAGGTAATTCGGGGCCCAACCCACTCAGCGGGTCACATGCTTGACCTCGTATTCCTTTTGGAGCAGTGGACTTGTGATCTTGGTCTGAGGGGAAATGACACCATACCCCTGTCGTGGTCAGACCACTGCCTACTGAGGCTTGACTTCCGGAGACCAAACCCCCACTGTAGGGAGGAGGAACCAACCAGGTGGTTCCGCCCCAGGCGACTGATGGACCCCTTGAGGTTCCAGACGGAGCTTGGGTTTATTCCTGATACTCTCACCCACAGTTCGGCGGAGACTCTGGCTGCTGCCTGGTATTCGGCGGCATCGGAGTCTCTTGACCGGATTGCGCCACTACGGCCCCTCCGGGTCAGCGGATCCCGGAGACCCCCTTGGTTCACCGAGGAGCTCCGGGAGAAGAAGCGCCGGAGGAGACGCCTAGAGCACTTGTGGAGGTCGATTAAGTCCGAGTCGAACCGAGCACTATTAACAACCTGCACCAAGGATTACATCAGG